TTGTTGTCTTTTTTGGGGACAGCGACATGACCACGATGAATGTCCCCTCCCCGATGACAACGGCATCGCAGCGAGTCCCTGGTGCATGCGGGGAGTGTACCGGCACCTGTCGAACGGAGTCCTTGAGCCGTTTGACCCCTCTTTGGATCACCCCATTGAATCAACCCATCAAAATACTTTCCGATCCCACCTGTTTCTTCGATGCAACACGGCGACACGATTTCCCTCGGCAGTCTCTGACCCTTCCCCCTCCCCTGTTGCCACGACGGCCACCACCACCAGATCCTTGTGATATTGGAAGGAAACGGCCGAACATCCAATCACCAGAGTTTTGGCTTTCTTCACAACACTTCTAGCGTGGGACGACATGCATCGGGTTTCGGGCGCTGATCAACTTTCCCATCCTGATTGAAACAGGAAACCACCCCCCACTTGTGACCATATTTTTTTCCCAATTACCCTTCATCATTCGATACATGTCTTCCATTTTCTGGTGACCAATTTCCCTGCAGCGTCAGACAGCGTCAGACAGCGTCAGACAGATCTCGATGGAAGGATGGTGCAAGAAAATGTTTGCTTCTCTTTGCTTCTGTACTGTCAGGACCACCCAGCTGGACCAAATGTGTGGCGACAAGCAACGTCTCGGCTCCGCGTCGATCCCCTGCCCACAAGGCCACGGGTCCACGCGTTCGCCAGATCGCCCCTAGTGCACTGCATATCCGGCCAGATCGAAAGCGTCTGGAATCGTCGTGTGGCTCATCGCCCTCCTCCTCTGTCGCTGCTCGCTCAGTACCCAACATTGGGGGAGAATAAAGATCGGCCCTGCACAAGGAAGTCAACCTCCTTATATCCTGCCTGCGGACGTCCATCGCTCGATACTGCCTCTACAAGCGATCTCTGCGAGGGATGCCGCAGCCCCTGGTAACCGTGCGATGATCGTCAGATAACCAGGCCTCGGCTTCCTGCGACTCTCTCTGGACGCGACCACCATCGGATTCGGTATGGCCCTACGGGATGGATATCCGATTGATGAAATGCCCTGCACAAGGTCCAGGCTTCATTTCACCTACCTCCTTGGGGTGTACACCAACCACGGGCGGACCTACCTACTGTACCTCGGCTTTCTCTACTCAAGCAGCACAACGAGCATCGACTGGCACAAGCTCCCGTCTCCTATCCATCGTTGCGACGCGTTTGCTATGACTGGTGCCCATGACGGGACTGTTCCGAGCAACACGGATGGCAGCCATCTAGCTTCAAAGGCTAACCAAGAGAGACTTGGCACCGATGCCTCTTGGCCACACACACCACACACACCACACACACTTTTCTAGTGCTCGAGTTGTACGGTTCGTCGACCGGAACTCACACCGCGCTGGGCCGGACATGTTGCCCACTATGCACTATGCCTGTTGGGACATGGCGTTGATCCTGGCAACGATCAAAGTTGAAATTTGACTTGCAACGGCCTCCAAGGTCAACCGATTGTGGCGCTGACAAACCATCTGTCACCTCTTCTAGGTTTTCACCATTTTGTCCGTTACTGTGCACTACCAGCATCGCACCCAACGCTTGATGCCATATCGAAACATCAGACGGGAGGGGGCAAGACGGACTTCACCAAAGGCGATACTGCCAACGATGGAACTGTTTTGTTGCGCTGAGCCCCCTGCACATTGGACTTTTGTCCAGAGGCGTCAGCCGCAAAAAGGCGGAGACAGCTCTGGACCTCGCTTGCCGCAGCAACGTGACACCAGCCACAGCCGCCACCTCAGTCTTCTGAGGTTGCAGACAGCCTGCAGCAGACAGTCTCGACCTTTGAAGCCTCGACCTTGGAAGCCTCGACCTTTGAAGCCTGCGATGTAACAGTGTGCGGAACGCCACCGTGGCAAGCCGCTCAAGTGCCCCTTCGCTCTCGTCTCCATCCTCATGCCACCCGCGCTCGCGAGACGGTCTAGACCTTTGGCTGCTTCAGAGGGGCGTGAGCGTAGCATACGCCTTGCTTCCCTCCTGTCGACTGTTCTGGACCTGGGCATCTCATCTCATGGTGGTCATTGGGACCGCAAGTGCAGGTCCGCAGCCTGGACCGGACTTCTGCTCGCATATCTGGTCGTGGTCGACATGTTGCTGCAGTCCTTCAAAGGGTACTGCAAGGAGGTGCTGCGACGCGCGCACTAAACACATGGGCCAGACAACGCCCGGTGCTATCCTGTGTCGTGAGGTACTTTTGCTGCCTCATCCGGCCGAATCGCAAACCTGGTACGGCAAAAGATTTCAACTTTGTGTGCGTCCATCAAAGGCAAATCGCCCCCGTCTTGGCTGGTTCTGGCCCCCAGGTGGATTTTCAGGGCCAGATCAGAGGACGGGGCTGCTTTGGAAACTCGCCGGGCAGAGGCTCCCGTCGTGACAAATTTGGGGCTCTCTATTGGATGAATCACCTTTCCGTGGTGGGCATCTTCAGCTCGGAAGAGTCTACATTGTAATTCGACCCTCGCCAAATCGATAGGATGAAGCCATGCAAGAATGCAAGGGCCCAAGGCCGCTCGCGCTCGCGGTTCGACCCAGCTGGGTGGTTGAGGCGGTTACTGACATGGAGCGGCGACGGCGAGGCCGGCCGCCACGAAGGCCATGAGGCGTTTTTTAAGATACACAAAGCTCCGCTTGTGATATGAGATGTGTCGAGGCAGGCAACAAAGGCCCAACTGGCATTGATCGATTAATGGCGCCAGCGACGTATTGCATTGGATTTGGGTAGTGATTCCATGTCATCACCACGGCTCTGGGCGAGGTCTGTGTCACGTTCCTCGGAGCTGTAGTGGGCAAGCAAGGTAACAGCTCGAGAACTCTGACCAGATAACGTGATAACCGCCAAGGCTTGGTGAGTGTCAAGCCTGCTGCGTTGTGCGTCCTCCGTAAAGACGCGAGGACAAGTGGCGAGCAAACAGTGTCAACCTCCGACTTCTGCTTGGGGCAGGATACGGCAGCTAACCACTCCTTCGGGTCCGCAGGGTCACCAGTTTATAGCCATGGCTCTTCAACTACTGCTTTCCTTACAGCCGCTGTCACTGTCGATAAGGGCAGCTGCCGTTCTGTCGATCCAGAACAATCACCTACGAGTGGTTTCAAACAAGCCATGACAGATGCTTTGAAAGGAATATGCTCGAGACAACAGTATGCCATGTTCTCAAGCCCCATCAATGCCTGGAGAATAAGACAACAATAAAAAATCAGACCTCGACTTTAACTGGCAAACAGGCCAGGAACCTCGATGGTGACATATCCATCTATTGCCTCATCCTGATGCTGACGCGTCCGCAAGTGACCCCGGTGATGACATGTTGGGGACGCGACTGCCTTTTGTCTGGGTATGTTGATAGCGCGGCAGTCATGGCTCCCTCGGTCATGAATTGACGAGGAAGGCCGCGCAGATGTGCTGTCCTCCAGGAAGGAAGATTGTTAAGTAAGGCATCGTGAAGGACGAGTGACTTGCAAACCGACTGTAGTGATCCAGACACCTCTATTAAAAGCATGAAACCTGGCTCGAGGATGATCACTTACAGCCTCACAGAATCAGCACAGCTCTATAGTCATCCTCCACAGACAGCCATCACTCAAAGGCCAGACAGCCCACCCCAACGAACAAGTCGCGACTCGACCCGGAACTCGGCGCCATGTCGTCAACCCTTAAAACGGGGAAGAAGCCCGGAAGCGAAGCAGACGCACATCAGCTTCGAGCCTGGTTCCAAGGTTTCATAGGCAACGTGATGCGCACACTTGCATACCCCGGACACATACACGAGACCAAGATCCCGATCCAGGCCCCCGACGGCACGGCCATGACGCTGCACCGCTTCGCGACCCGCGACATGGCCGATTCGCCCACGCCCCAGCCCGCCGTTCTCCACGTCCACGGCGGCGGCATGATCAGCAGCAGCGTCTCCCTGTACGCCCCCGCCATCGCCAGCTACGTCGCCCGCGCCGGCCTTGCCTTTCCCTCTGTCGAGTACCGCCTGGCGCCCGGGCACCCCGGCGACGGTCCCGTCGCGGATGTCTATGCCGCGCTGGGCTTCCTCTCCGCGTACGCCGCCGAGTGGAACGTCGACCCGGCGTGGCTGGCTATCACGGGCGACTCGGCGGGCGGCGGGCTCGCAGCCGGCGCGGCGCTCCTGGTCAGAAACGGGAACCCGACGCCGCCGCTCGCGAAGCAGCTCTTGATCTATCCCAGGCTCGACGATCGGACGGGGTTTCGGGGCGGCGGCGCGCTCGAGCGGTACCACTTCTGGACCGCCGCGTACAATCGCACGGCGTGGGAGGCGGTGCTCGGCGCCGGCAGGGCGGGGGCCGCCGATGCGGGGGTCCCGATCCGCGTGGCGCCGGGATGAGCCCGCGACCTGTCGGGTCTGCCGTCTGCCTATGTGGAAATCGGAGGACTGGACCTTGTTTGTCGGCGAGACGGCTGCGTTTGTTGAGCGACTCGTGGCTGGGGGCGTGGATGTTGAGTTTCACCTGCTGCCTGGACTCGTACACGGGTTCGACTGCTGCGGCATGTTGGAGCTGGGCTCAGAAGGCGATGGAGCCAAGGTGAGAGCCCTGAAGAGCTTCTAGCGCGGAGCTCTCGAAGCTGACGGGGTGAGCTGCTATGTGGCAACTGTCTAGTGCATTACTGTCTACATTCGCCAAGTATCAATGAGTGACCGCTTTCAATTTGTAGACTATTGTTTCTGTTGGAAGTGCTCCATGATCCGCATGGTGCTCCTGTAGCTGGCTTACACAGATCTCGTGAGCAATCCACGTTCACCCCAGTAAGAGGCAACAAGCCTCCCCAGGACTTGTGCGCCAAGCAGGAAACAAAGTCAGCCCATTTAACCACATTCGGACCTCGTAGGTTCGTGTGTGTACTCTACAGAAAAGGGGGGGATGGACTCCATGAGCCGGCCCTATGCGAACCCTGCTACGGCGTCGGAGGGGAGTTTCTCTGCCCAGTTCAGGATGCATCCCTTCGCCCCAGCAAATCGGGATGCTGTAAGATCTTTAACCACTGGTGCCTAGATGTCTTGGCGGCACAAGAAAGACGCATCGTCGAACCGGTCGAGAACGCAGCACAAAGGAGGCGAGAGGCGGGAAAGAGAAAGTCCTCCATCTTGGCGCATCCGTTCGTATTAACTACTGTCCCACGGCGGCGCAGCATGCCCTGAGTGACCTCGACGACCCAGCGAGCTGCAGAGTCGCCCAAAGTTCCACTCCCTCACAGGGCTGCATGCACCGCCGGTCCGAAGGAAGGATTCGTGGCCAGGCGCGAGCACTACTAAGGGGAGGCCGGGATCCCAGCTCGAGCGGCGGTGGCGGCGGCGGCGGATGATGGACGCAGTCCTAATTTCCCCGCGGCTTAATTCAGCGGAGCGTTCGGCCGCCCTTTGCGCTGGTTTCTGAGGCCCCATTTCTGCCTCCGCGAACCGGGTAGGCCGGGGCAATGCTTGGATAGGTGGTGTTAATGGCTACGCCGCAGGCTCGCATGGAAAAGCGCAGGCGCGCCTTGGAACTGACTGATCCCCGTCCAGGCTCCAGAGCAAGTCTGCCTTCTGAATCGTCTCCAACGCGGCGATGGACGTGTCTTATAACGTTGTAACGCAGCGATACGTGGAAAGAATGTTGCCTGCGGGCGTACTCGCCGTCGCTGTCTAGCCGGTGGCGTCGTGATCCTTCCACTCGGCAGATATCACGTCTTCGAGTTCCAGGCATGGTGGGCTTGGCGCCTTCTTCTCTGGTGAGTTCATCCCAGGGATGTAGTGATGGGTACGATAGCGAATATGGCGACCGAGATCCGGCGAAGTGGACAACGTGCCCTCCGAGGGCAATTAGTCCGGTCTCCAACGTTCTCTTGAGCAGTTTGTGCGAGCTAAGCTGAGAGTGTAGTGGAAAAGCAAGATTAAAATTAAGATTCGGATGAGTTTGGATTTTGCCCTCAACACTCTGAAGGGACCATGTCATTGCAGTAACAAGCGTGGAGACTGACACCCTCCCTTGGCAGCTGCGAACCCATGTTACTGAACCTGGCCTCCCCTGCTCTATCTATCGTGGTGCCAAGAAGGGAACATCGCCCATAAGGGGTAGTCAGGCCGACATGTCGGCGCCCCGTCAAAGGCCACCATTAGGACTTCCACAGCGCGCCCTGCTGGGCCTTAAGCCGCTGCTGGTGCTGTAGAAGATGACGGCCGCAAGCCTGCCAGACACACCGGCAAACGAAGCAGAGGGTGTGCATCAAGTGTATCCGTCTCATCAACATGTTCCACGGGATGTGGATCCTCGGCGAAGCAGCATATCATCTTGCAACTGAGCAAAAGCTCAGTGCTCTTGAGCGTCTGGCCATATCGCTGCCTCACACGTTTCATCCACGGCTTGATTTGCAAAACGGAGTGGTAGCAGTAGACGTCTGGCCTGCCACGTATGCCAAACACGAGCTTGTTTGCAACGCAGTAGTTCCAGGTAGTCACGAGTTGCTCTCGGTGGGCGTTGCCGCTTTGGTCGGCAAAAGCCGAGAGCTGGATGCGTACGTAGCGGAAGGCCATGTCGTCTTCGGTTGAACTGACGTACTTGTGGCTCAGGTGACCCAGCTGGTCGTACAGGTGGGACATACGATAGGTACTGGTATGATCGTAGAGCATCGAGAGATCCATCCATGTCCTGACGGCGAGTGGCGACTGTGAGCCGTAGGTGGACTCAATCTCCTCAGCCACAGATGGCATGGCACTCCAAATGAGACTTGAGAGGGCAGCAGGGCCGTGCTTCTGTCGTATCTGGTACATGTTGGTGAAGATGAGCCGGAGCGGGTGCAGCCGCTCGTAGTTCCTGGTAGCGTACGCTGCTAGATACCGGGACAAGGCCGTCATCATGCCGGGATGTCGATTTGACATACCGAACAACAGTTCCTTGATGCCTTGCGCGGAAAGCTGTCGTAGGTCAACCTCTAACCGCCGGAATGCGTGCATGAGGAGATTGCCGGCCAGGTCGTTTCTTTGTTGTTCGAACAACTTGCCAGCTTCAAACAGCATGTGACTCGACCCGGCACCCCACAACAGCAGCGACGCCCACCCGTGCTGATGGGCATCGCTGCGATCATTTTGCTGACAGTGCATCAAAGCCTTCCTCATGTTGATCACGAGGATCTCCTGCGCGCGTATGAGGTCTGGTGATCGCAAATAGCCAGGTGCTGGGGGTGGGGAAGGCGTACGAACGCGAATATGCGAGGGCAGTTCCGACGCCGTTTCAAAGTCGACAAGGTCATATTCTGTCACACCTTTGCGCCTGAGATAAGTCGCCAGGTTGACGACTTTGCCGTTGCGTGTAAACTCGGATATTTTGCCCTCTGCATCTCTTTCGAATTTTGTCGACAGTAGCATCTTGACTTCGTCCTCCGTGTTGTTCTTTACAAAACCCCACTGTGAGAACCTCGTCTTGTACATTTTGGGACTGGCTTTTGTCAGCGTGGGAGGCATTCGCACGGCGTAGGGTTGTATGCTAACGTTGCTTCGAATCCGTGTCGCTCGTTCATTATGCGGATAACCTCCTTCAAGGGCTTGCGTTGGTCGAGATATAGCTCTCGAATCGTTGGCTTGAATGCCTCCCATGTTTCGGTTGGAACTTGTTCCCGAGACGGGCGACCAGTGGCACGCTGCTTTGAGGCTCCCTTTGATTGGAGGCTGGACTTTCGTCGCATCTACTCTCGTTAGTCTCGGATCCTGGAAATGGACCTGGGGGTTAACCTTTTGGGAAGTGTTACTTGTATGGACCCCGGAAGAACTCAGCGGTCGATGGGTTGAGGTTGGTGCCGACTCTTCAAACGATATTATATGAGGCAATGAATCGTGGGCGGCTTGATCCGTGATGGGATCAAAGCTCTCGATGGTGCCGACCGACCCTCCAGTATGCGGAAAAGATGACACAGTTGAGAAGGATGGGTCATTCCAAAAGCCGGAGCTTTCATACTGGGCAGGCAAGAGCCCTTCAGCAGTGGTGGAGGGCATCGATCCCGGAACATCTACGCATGATGTTGATGGCTGAAGGGGGACGCCCAAGCTTGGATCTAGATTGTATGCTTGGTACAGTCTGTGGGTATCACTGACGTCAAACGAGTTCGGCAGCACGCCTTCGGACTGGGTTGCGCTGTAGAACAGGTCGTCATCTGGGTATTCATGGCTTCCAAAGTCGTCGGCAGGAAAGTCTGCAGGCTGGGTGGGTGGTTGTGTCCAGTCGTACGAGGTACTGTAATCATTGCATGTTGTTCTCTCCCGGACATGGAAAGCCGGGGTCTCGCTTGGATAGTGATACGGAGAGTAATACTCGGTTGGCGTGGCCTGGACAGACCTGACTCCTTGGCCGTGGGACCGAGACTTGTTATGAGGTGAGCCAGAATTTTGCGCCATCGAGCCGCCCTGCAAGTGCTGTCCGTTCCGCTTGGAGCGAACGTTCGCAAGCTGTTGTTGGTCGGTTTGCGAGAAATCGTGCCAAAAGTCCCCTCGGTAGATGCGGGCGCGGTTCTTTGGCGGGAGGGCCCGGTTGCCGATGTGCGTCGTCTGCCGCGGATGCACGCGAATCAGGTGAAAGAGCCCTGTATCGTTTTGAAGAAGATGGAGACAGCCGGCAAGAAGACGATTAGGACGTCTTCGCCCCGTTTAGTTGTGGTGAAGATGGCTCGACAAAGTATTCTGGGAAAACCATCATGTCGAGAGGTTTGGAAGGCCCTCTGGCTCATAAATGCACCGCTGGCCAGTGTCTATGTAGACACGTACCCCGGAAGGAAATCGGAGTTGCAGATGCTCAGTCTACAGCGACCCGCGTGTCCTCGGTTCACTGGATTCGAGATAGTTCTTACCAAGGAATATATGGGATCTGCCGGCGGTGGGCAAATAAAGCAGTTGGGGGTTGGTCACAAAGGCGAAAGCGATTACCCGAGTCCGACATGCCGTGCCAAAGACCCAGACTCTCAGATTCCCAGATCCCAGGCCCCTGTTCCCACCCACCCTTGATCGAAAGTCTACAGCCAGTCCAATGTAAACCCTGGTTGAGTGGGCGACAGGCGCCAGATGCAAGAGGTTCATTCGCCTAATACGGCCCCCAAGCTGCATAGCCGCCGCCCCAACAGGGCCCTGGGCATGATTGGCGGATTGACGACTGGAGTGCCAACGTGGACGGCATCTTGGAGGATGGCGGTCGATTGTCGTTCGACAAGTTGCGGTGGATTCTTCCTTCAAGATGGTGGCGATCCATGTCGAGAACCTGCACGGCGGTTCTGGTAGACTTTCTGACTAGACGTTCTGACAGGTGGGCAGACGGACTGAGACAGGCGTAGGGCTGGCAGCTAGCGAAAAGCACAGCTCACCCGCACAAGGCGGCGTGTGGGTTGAGTGGGTCTGAGGGATAGCGAAGCTTTGCGGCAGGCGGGAAGCCCACATGCAGCAGGACTCGGGCCATGTTCTTGTTCGAACAGGATCATTTGAGTTCAACTTGGTTGACCCTGTTGTCTGGAACTTTTGCAGTCCCGCTAAATCATTTTTGGGGGCAGCCTATGCCGGCCTTGTCGTGAAGTGCTTCAGCCAAGCTGGGCCTCGGGCATGTTGATGATCATAAATCGGGACGGTGGAGCAATTTTCTCTGGTGAGGTGAAAGGATGATAAGGCCTGATCAAGGTAGGATCCTTCGGCTCCGTTGTCACGGTGGTCCACGGCGGTCCACAGCGGATCCCCACCTCCCACACCACCACTCCAGATCTGAACACGAAGAAGGACAGGGTCCTTCATTCTGCAGCCTGGTCACGACGCATGGGGAGATGGTTCGTGGGCGGGTTACAGCCGAGCTTCATGGTGGTCGCAGTGCCGGTGGAGTTAAGCCCAGAGGCCGCACCTTGGACAGAGTACCTAAAAGCCGTAGGGTGACGTAGCAAAGACCGAGATGAACGAAGATTGATTGTCTTGGCCGCTGCTGTGCATGATGACTTTTTACAGTTCTAGACCATATGATGTTCGAAATGCAGTGCGTAGACATGTGCAAGTGCCTGGTCCACGGTAGTCCGCGGGTCCGGAAGGTGGATTCTCGGCGGATCCGATCTGGGATTCGGTGAAGCAGTATTGGGACGGACCTCGACAGCTCCTTGGGCCTCCAGCTTGGTGATTCGATGTAATTGGGTTGCTCGTCAATTTCAGAGGCGCTCATCGTTACGCAAGCGGCAGATGTACCCGGCGGATCGCAAGCCAGGAATCCGAATATGCGTCGAAGAGGTGTATCTATTTCTGGCGATATGTGGCTAATATGAGAGTCTGGACTCTGGTCAATCGTGGCGACTCAGATATCATCGACCAACCATTCTGGCCTCGATGCCAAGCTGGTTCTAGTAGCTGCGGGCGCTTAGAGCGTCACTTGACACTCATGAGTCGACATGCTCGATGATATCTCGGTGACGGCGCCTGTCAGTGTAGCCTGATGTAGTACGTGGCAATTGACTTTATGGTTGTGTGCTTGGGACTTGGTTCGACCCGCGACATCCACAATAATCGGTGCAACCTCAGCGGCAGTGAATGTACAGGCTTTCGGCGTGTCGTGCAAACAGGAAAGCGCTTTTCATGACGTGATATGAGTTGAGGAAAAACGTATCCGCTGCGATGTGTGACACTGCCAGCTGTCTGGCATTACATGGTGACAGAGGTGAAGGCGCGCAAAGCTGACATAGGAATCCATCATGTCGCACGATGAACAGACTTTTGAGGGCCGGTCCGAGAGCCAAGGCAAGATAGTATTGTTATCTGCCACTGGATGTCTGTCTGTCCAAGATATTTACGTCCTGAAGTAGTTGTCCGTTCATGAGACGGCAGGAGCGACATGGAATGACTCTCAAGGCGGTGAAAAGGCTGGGGCGAAGCTGAGGCGAAGCGGAACCACGTGAAACCGGCAGAATCCCCATGTGACGTCTCTTATCTCTTATCTCCCATATCAGGCACCTGAGCTCCCAGCTCCAGCTCCCAGCTCCCTCGCGACGAGTTCTCGACCTTCTGCACTCTCTCGAGTTCCATTCTTGATCATCTATTCTCAATTACACTATACAGACAGCAGCACCATATATACTGCAATCATGGCGCCCCAATTCTCCCTCCGCGGGCTCTTCAGCCATGCGGCCGAGTTCCTATCCCAGGTCCCCATCTCCCCCTCCTCGGGGTCCACCAGCCTCACGCCCTACAAACCACTGACGAGCGCCCCCTCCTGCCCCATCGACGGACCGACGAGCTGCCTCAGCACGCCAGACGACGGTGCGTCTTGCTGCTTCGTGGCCCCGAGCGGGCGGATGCTGCTGACGCAGTTCTGGGACCAACAAGTCCACGCCGGCGGTTCGGAGCGCGATTGGACGGTCCACGGACTCTGGTATGTGATGACTCATGTCGGGGAGCAGAAGAGAGGGGGGGGATCAACAGGCTCAGGGAGAGACAGCCAGCCAGTCTGAAAGGCAGGTACACACCCAGACAAACAGCTGACAGCGTCATCACAGGCCGGATCTGTGCGATGGAAGCTACAAGGCCTTCTGCGGAATGACGCCGCACTTTAACAACATCACCGAGATCCTCGTCGACCAGGGCCACGAGGCTCTCGTCAAGCAGATGAACAGATACTGGGTGGCAGCGTAGTGCGTATACTCCCCCTCGACGTGGACGGACCCTTTTGCTCCTCGCGACCCGATCATGGCTTCACGCGCGCCGGGAAGGGAGGCTGACCAAGTTTCACAGTGGTTCGAACGATCACCTCTGGGCCCACGAGTACAACAAGCATGCGAGCTGCATCAACACGCTCGCGCCCTCGTGCTACGCCTCGGCCTACACGCCCGGCGCCGAGGTGGCCGACTACTTCACCCGCGCCTTCGACCTCTTCCGCACGCTCAACACGTACGCCGTCCTGGCCGAGGCGGACATCGTGCCGTCGCGCGTCCACCAGTACCCCATCAAGGCCATCGAGGGGGCTCTCGAGAAGCACACGGGCGGCAAGGTCGTGCTGCGGTGCAGCGGGCGCGGCGGCTCGGTGCTGCACGAGGCGTGGTACGCCTTCTTCGTCAGGGGCAGCTTGCAGACGGGCGACTTTGTGCCCGCCGAGACGTACGGGGAGCACGGGGACGCGAGGAACTGCGGCGAGGAGGTGTGGTATCTGCCCAAGGTGTGCCGGTTGCCTGGGGGCTGCGCTGGCGATGGCGAGCTCTGATGTGAATCCTGGCTGAGTGAGTTTGTTTCTTTGGAGGGGGAGGGGGGATGGGAAGGGCGTTCCTTGTCTTGTGGTGTCTGGAATGGGATTTGTGAGTTGTCAGTTTTTTTCCGCATAGATAGACAGGATCGATATGAACAGATTGCGCATCATCCGCTCCCAGTCTCGGTACTTGTTCGCAGTGAAACATGATGGGCCTGGGCGACAAGCACGGCACTTGGTGAGAAAGGAATGCGCGGCCCATCCGGGAGGGCGCGGCGGGCCAGCTGAACGGGGCCCTATTGTGTCCCCCGGGGAAGTGGATCAAGTTGTCTGCCGGCTCAAGGTCCGAAACCTGATCACAGAGGGTCATAGGGGATCGAGGTCAAGTCCGGACAGAGGGAGGGAACGAAAATGACGCTTCGATAGACGATCCCAAGAACGCGGCAACCCCATCCATCGCACGCTTTGTCCTGCAGAGGTCTTGGTTGGTGGTGGGAAGAAAAAGAACAAGGTCTTGGAACCACACGTCTTGATGAAGAGGGAGCGTTGAAGCCGCATTCCACTCGAGGCAAATAAAAGGTGCCAATCGTCGAGGTTGCAACAGCGTCAGCCTTGCAGCTTCACAGAACGCCTCCAGTGCGGTTTGTGCAACAGCCACTGAGAATGGCCTTTTCGGACCGATGGCGCAGCGCTACGGCCGCATCGGGCGTAGCGCAATGAGGGGAGCGCCATCATGAGACACGATTGGCTTGGTGCGTCTTTGGGCTTTCGCAGAGGCAGGTGCTCTCCAGGTTTTCCTCCCCGACTTTTCGGCTGCACTGGCGGCGTTGCTTGGACGTTGCGGGCGACGCATGAAGCCCGAGGTCCGTCGCCTGATCGAGATGGCTTCTAATGCCAGTTCTGGCCTCCAGCTCGCTCATCGCCACGATGCACGATGGATGAGGGGGGAAAAAGGGGCGGATGAAATTGATGGCGAGCAGACGAAAATCACTGGGTTCTAGAGGATGGTCAGCCAATACGACACGGCGCTACTGGGCTCGGGACGGCCGCCTGTCACAGCCTTTCTCTCGCTGACACGAATGGGCACAGGCACAGTGTGAGATGCCCTTTACGAGGACAGGGCCCGGCACAGTAGCCACGGCACTGTAGCACCATTCTCCAGGCCACATACATCATCAGGTCATCGAGCCGCCAAGCACAAACAGGCAGAGAAGGCCGTCGTCGACCTTGCTTGCACCTCGTCCCGTTCAGCCTGTCTGTCGCCCGAAACTCTCTGCCCACCACGCCCTCACGAGACCAGCCATCGAAAGGGGGCTCGAACGTGGCTCCAGGTCGCACAACTAGCCCAGCCAGGATAGCTAGCCATGTTTCGCAAGCGTGCCTTGTTGTTCTTTTCCTGAGTTCCGTCCTGCCCTCCCAGCAAACTTTGGGGCCGCTGCTTGTTATTCGCGTGAGCTGGGCAGGAGACTGGGGCGGAGATGAGTGTGATCTGTGCGGAGGAA